TTCCCTTAATCACTCATCAGTCTTCATTGATATTTTAAAGATATGAGGAAAAACTGAAAGTGTTTAAAAGTCCAGCAGAGGCGAAGCCATGACTCGTCGTCATTAACTATCAACAAAATCCAGACAGCAATGAGGTTCCATATTCATGTCTAGTTCTCCTAATCCTCACTCCTTGATGATCCAAGAATTATTTTCATCTCCACATGGCATTCACACAATGGGTATCTTCAAATGGTGTATTCAGTTCAGTCATTGCTAAGAGATACATTGATTTTCTAATTGACAAACAAAAGGCAAGTTCTTGAAAGACATGTTTATTTCTAGTGGATACAGCTCAGTTATATACATGAGAATTGAAGGACCCTTATAATACATAAAGATTTAAATTTTATTTCTAATCAACTAGTACTAAGAATAGAAATGTTCAAGAAAGTAGTAAATTAATTTTGTTTGATCCCATGTTAGATAAACTGCCATAAATAAAATGAATAGCATGCCATTAACCATACTCCATATTAACTATATACTAAGATATGTACATTAGAAATCATCCAAGTATTCCAGACATATATTTATACCTGTAGTCTCTTACACCATGATTTTTCCCCAATTATGCCTTTAATTAATCAAATACAAAAAAAAAAAAAAAAAAAAAAAAACAGAATTCATTTGTCCTAGACTATAGTAGTAAGTATGTATTTGAGAGAAGTGTTTTAGCCAGTGGCTTACTATCCAGGGAGGGGGCATGGCTTTACTTGGCTCTTATTGACTCATAAGAACAGTCTATATATTACAAAATTCCTGAGTCATAGACATTTCCAGGCAATTTTTTTTTTTTACAACATCAACTGTTATAATACCTTCCCATCGTCCAACCTCTAGGCAGGCTCCTTTGCAGTACACAAAGCTCTCAACTTCAGGATTTTAACCTTTACATCATTCTTCTGCTTTGGTTGCACACTAGGGACTAGCATGAGCTAGATTCCTGACTCACTGCAGCTGAGTTACTAATAAAGGCTGACCCCACCTATTTCTACTGGGAATCATTAAAAACATTTTAGGGGGGAGGGGAACTGACCCATATTTTTCTTGGCTAAAATCTCTCAATTTAATAAAGATAAGTCAGTCTCCTACATCACTGTTTTCTTCTACTAAGCTGCCCATTCTTCCTACCCCAGTTTTTGCTGGTCTCATAATTAGTGAAACTTATAGTCACCAATTTAAGAAAAGCAAATGAACCAGGGATTTTATCTTGTGGCCATTTTATACCTGGTCCAAAATAAATAACAAACTATAAAACAGTTTTTCCAAGCATGAAGGTGTCCTCATAAGCTGTTTGAATTAACAATCTGTTGTCTATATACCTTTAAATTAATCATAATGATTATTCTGCCTTTACCCTCCACCAAGTTATCCATTCAAAATAACCATAAGTGAAAAGAGAAAAAGCTCCATTTTTAATTGCTATTTATTAAGTAAGGATTTTTTTTTCCAACCTGGACAATTATAAAAATACCTTGCTTTGTCCTGCTACGGTAGGTAGGATTTCATCTAGACAACAAGCATTAGACAAAGAAGCCACAAATGGGCTCACTGATGTTATGTTGAGGTAGGCAAGTGCTGTTTTCCAGGTTCATACACCAACAAGTACAGAAGGCCCTAGAATTACCCGAGACACTGTCCCACCTCAGAAGCAGTCAGGGAACATATCTAAGCAATGGCTTTGCCTGTCAGTCTTTCTGCGAAGCAGTGTCTGTCTTGGCATTTATCTAACCCCTTCATGGCCCACATCCAGAAAGCTTAAAGGAGACCATATTCTATTGCTTTCTCTGTTGCTATCATTAAACATTGACTGAAAGCAACTTTGGAAAGGAACTTTGGGAAGGAAAGAGCTTCTTTGGCCTATGGGTTACAGTCTACCATAGCAGGAAGCCAGGAACTCAGAAGAAATCACAAAGAAAGTGCCTACTGGCTGGCTTCCTCTAGCTGGCTCGGCTACCTTTCTCATGTAGCTTAACACCCCAACCCCAACCCCACCCCAGGGATGGTAGCACCTGTAGTGTGCTGGGCCTTCCTACATCAATTAATAATCAAGAAAATGTCCCAGTGGTATACCCACAGGCCAATCTGGTGGAAGGAATTGCTCAATTTCCTTTCTCTTGAGTGTGTCAAGTTGATGACAAAACTGTAGCCCACCCTGACATAACTAATGCACCAATGTTGGGGCCTTGATTAGCGTGCTCAGAACATTCAAAACTGGGGTAGAAGCATCAAACACACACAACATACAGTACATCTAACGATTGCTTAACTCAGCAATTTGTTCCAAAAGCCTAGTTTTTATGTAGGTGACTATTTGACCTTAAACTATATTAAAATTACTTCAAAGTTCCCCCTCTCCCATTTGACTTTAACAAATATGTCACAAAATGGTGGCTTGCTGAGCTTGACTCCTCTTTGTTAGTCTGACTTCATGTTCTTACTAGAAAGCCTGGGCCACGGTGCTTAGAGACGCTCTCAAAGAGTCACAGTCAGAGGCAATGCAGCCCCAACTCCCAGATCCGGCTTCAGGTTTTTGGTTTGGTTCCATTCTACTTGCTTCCCTTTAGAACACTTTACAGAATCAGAGTTCACACTGCTTTAAACTTCCTTAACCACATCTCTTGTTCTTCGTGGAAATGAAATTTGTCACAATTGTTTGTTAGATTCCATAACCTTAAGCTGCAGTGGGGACGAGAAGTGTATCCCATGTTGACTTATTTACTCTTCTTTCGTCGGTGTTCAAACTCCACGATAATTATACAGCAGAGGTCACAAGCCCTCTCCATCTCCTCTGAGCTTCTAATTGGTGTCAAAAAGTAGGCGTTTAGGTTAAAGCTCCTCCCTGTCAAGAGAAAAAAAAAAGAGCAGTAATTGGAAAAGCAATGATGTACTGAAATATATCTCTACTGTATATCACTAAGCTACATGGCTAAAATCACCCTTGCGTCTTATTTTTTTGTTAATGATTTTTTTTTTGTACTCTGCTATTTTTTTTAAAAAAAAAACCTCTACAAATGTACAAATGCCACGTGTTTTTACTGAATCCTAAATTAAAACCATTAACATTTCGAGGAACCACTTGGTAGCTAGAAATTCCAGAGTGGAGACTGGAAATGCTGTTTTGATCACATTTGAGTGTTTTCAATACCGCCTACTCCTGATGGAAAGCATCGGTTTTTCTTTTTTTTAATCTTTGACAATTTCACACACTATGTAATGTGTTTTTATCATATTTTCTCTCTCTCTCTCTCTCTCTCTCATGCTCTCCCACTGCCACCAACCCCTTCTTCCTCGCAGTACCCCTCTCGTTTTTATCCTTTTTTCTGTTTCTGTGTGCACCACTGAGTTGAGTTGCAGTTGCTTGCAAGAGCATGTGTGGAGGGTTATTTACTAGAATTTGAGCAATTCACCAGAGGCTAGATCAGTGAATGACCCCCTCCCATGGCAACCCTTAACTGCCCCAAATCCCTCAGTGGTGGATGGAACCTCATGAGACCTTTCTCCCATATGGACCCTCCCTCTTAAAACTGTGGGGTCTGGACCAGTGCCTTTTGTTTCAGAGGACATTCTTTGTTAATTCTTTGTTTCACGGATTTTTTTTTTAAATCTTATTTAATGTTATGCAGTCCATCAGAAGAAACCAACGCAGGTGGTCATAACCCTTAATTAGGATGAATCCTTTCTTTCACTATCTTGACTAATTCTGATACATTTTGTTTACTTATTTATGTATTTGCCTTATATGGTCACAGCCTAGCCTGGCCTCAAACTCTCAGCATCTTGCCTCAGCCTTCAAGTGCTGGGATTAAAGGCAAGCATCTCATACCTTGACCTGATGCATTTTTAATTCAGGAAACACACTCAGGCCAGCATCTCTGAGAGACATACAAAGGGTCTTGGGAAGCAAAGCAACAATATCCATATTTTGTATTAGCTGCTTCTAAAACAGATTAATGAGCCTTGTTTTGGCTGCAGCTGCAGAGATAAGTGGGCGTCCTGATTTAAAAGGCAACTGCTGGTGCTACCAGTGTGACAGCATTTAGTGAGGTTGTCAGCACCTGCTCAAGAGAGATCTTTTAGAAGCACCACTATCACAAATATAAAATTTAAAAATCATCTTACTCTATTTCTTTTGTGGCAGTTTGTTTTATCCGTCTATCAGAGAGAAGCTCTGAGGGAAGGAATTGTATATCAATACCTTGGTTATTCTCCTGACCCTAATTTTTTTTTTTTTTTACAAAGACATATGAATTGCTCTGGCATGGAACCCACCCATGAGGAACCAGAAGAATCATACTGCAGTGGAGGCACCCACCACAGCCAGCTCTTTACTGAGGTCTCTTTGCAGGCTAGTTTATTTTTGTAATCTATGTCTTATTGTAAAGCCTGAAGAACAAAAAGAGAGAAAGAGAGAGAATTGCAAGAACTTGCCCAAGATATATGATTAAAATGACCAAATGAAACCTGATTAATGCAAGGGACACGCTTTTATAAAACATGTGGTTCAAGGCTTACTGAAAGTTTCTGTAAAGTTGGAAATGGAAAATTATGCTGAAGTATGGGAGAATTATGGATACTCCCATAGGAACCACCTCTATAGCACTAGGTAACTGGTGAGATCTATCGTAGCAAGAGATAAGTGATAACCTAGCCCAAATCTCTGGGCCACTGTCAACCTGTGTTGGTTTTTAATCATCTTGACTACATAATGTCAAAACCACCTCTTAAGTAAAAATCATCTCTCCGAGGCTTCCCTTTTCACATAAGAAACATGTCTTATGGAGCCATTCGAAGACATAATGGGATAATCTCTGTGGACTAGCATAAAATCTGAGTAATTTAATAAAGGTTAGTCATTTGCAAGACCCCTGACACATGGGAAGTAATTTCTTGCTTCTGCTGGCAGCGTTACTTTAAGGCAAGCTACTAAGGCTTAGTACTGGGGGCTGTTGCACTGCTTACATTTGATGTTCTCTCACAAAAGCTGCAAACTCAGGATCATTAGCATATAGTTCCAAAATCCTCATTCTCTCTTGAATTTCCTTAAACAAAGAAGAAAAAGAGGCTATGTATTGCATTAGGAAAAAACACAGCAGCCATTCAAAGGGAATCTAATTATTATAAGGAGCTTCTGGGCTACCCAGGAAAGAGCTATAAGGGGAGAAAAAAAGCCTTTAGCAAAACCCAAGGCTCGACATATAGTGTCCTGGATACCATATAAACTAAGGCTGGTGAGATAGCTAAGTACTAGAGCACTTACTTAGCATGCACAAAGCCTTGGGTTCACGTCCCAGCACCCCAAAAAGAAAAGAATAATATTTCTGCATAGCCAGTACATGAACTGTTCTAATTCAAGATATATTCCTAAGAAAGGAATGAATAAAGAACAGAAAATTTTTTAATTGTGGAAAAAGTCACTGGGTAGGGAATGAGGACCGGCTCATTTTGATACCCTCTACATACTCAGGGAGACATCACCAGATTCCAATTAACATAAGTATTCTCCATCAGTCTCTCTTCATGCCCATGCAATGCACACATACATGCTCACATGGACCAGCAAGGCAGCAAATGGAAGTTTCCTACCTCTTTGGAAAGGTCAGTGCTCTCATACATCTGCCTGATTTCTTCTCTGCTCAGACCACCAATCACCTCTTCACTGGCAGAGCTACAGAAGGGGTATTGGCTATAGGGTTTCTCGTACTGTTCACATCCAGCCAAGTGGCTTTCATATGCGGAGTTGTACTTCATAGCATTCTCAACAGACGACAGGCTATCGGGCTGCCTGCTGGAGCCACAGGAAGAAACATATGATCGGTTAAGGGTCTCTCCTCTGGATGCTTAACTATGTGAAAGTCTATTTTTCTGGGAAAAGGTTTCTGTTGTGAAGCCTTTTTTTTGTGGACACAGATGTGGGATCAGGGGCACTATGAGAAATGTCTAGATTAAGCTCAGGAGTCATCACTGCCCCCTGTTTCATTCATTGTATTTCCCCACAGCACCTGACACTCAATAAATGCTGGCTGGGAACTATGTCTGCCATTAAATAATAGTATTCCATTAAATAAATACAGCTCCATCATTTCCAGAGCAACACCTATGAAAAAATCATGTGTAACCACTTAGACTATCTAGAAAAATAATAACACCGGAGGACTGAAAGCTCTGGGTCTCAACTGAATTCAAGTCAGGTCCATTTGCTGAGCAGTGATTATGTGCCATGACTTCTCTAAATGCTGATGATGTGAAGAATTTTCTTGGCCTCTGCCCTAGACAAGATCACAGCCTATTGAAAACTCAGTTGGTGCAAAGCTTAATAACTGTGTCTTACTGGGACTATGTCTTGGTGCTTTAGGACAGACCCCAGTATGTCTGTCTCTTTAGCCAGGTCAGAGGTGGGGGAGATTTTAGCAGTGTGCCAAGATGTTCACATGGCCTTCTTGACCTGGCTCATGTCCACTCACTTATTACAATGAGAACCACCATCCCCTGCAGATAGACATTCTTTTCTCTCACTCTCTTGATGATCACTAAATTTTCAAGACCTTCTGCCCCCGACAAACCTAGTTCAATCCTCATCCTGGCCTCTCAGCATCTATCTCATGCGTAGACTACTTAGAGTTCTTCAAATGTGGCCTCGGTTTGAGGATGTTTTCTCACACAGTTCTCTACCTCCACCCAGCTCTTTGCCCTGTATTTGGCACATAATCAGAAATGAGTAGCCAGGCATTTGATTCCACTAGGAAGCTCTTTCCTTATTTACCTGGTGGGCCTCTGCCTTTGCCTCCTGATAGTCTGGGCTTGAAGTGTCTTCACAAAGAAGAAGATAACAGCAGAGGCGACAAGGAGAAGACTGAGCACAGAGGCTATGGTGATACCTATGACAAAGGGCTCAGACACAAACTCCTCACAGTGCTGGCCTCGATACCACCAGTTCGAACCCACCCGGCATCTGTGAAAACAGTTACCAAACTCAAGATCTGAATCACTTGGCTCAAAGTAACAGCAAAGAGAACCTACGGTGGAAGTGGAATGGGAAAGGTATCTGTATGGATTCTGATTGGGTAAATCTCATGAAGGACTTGGACGGAGTACTGGGGCTGGAGCCAGTAGCAGAATGCTTGCCTAGTGCACATAAAACCCTGTATTCCAGTCGCAGCATAGCGGGAAAAGAAAAAAAAAAAATGCCTTCACATGCAAATTAAATGAGCGCATGATTGAAGGCTGTGCACTGTGCCTGACGCTGACCAGTAGACCTTGAATGGCTGCTTTAAAATGGCTGGTTAAAGTTTTAAAGGCTTAAAGGATTATTATGTTCAACCTTCTCATTTACAGGTAACAAAAACACATGCCCAGGAAGGAAGGTCACTCCGTTGGTCGAGGTGACAAACAGCGTCCAGAATGCAGCTTTTAACACCCTACATGTCATCTCAGCACCCTAAAATGACCTCAAAGTTCTGAGACCCCAGGCTTGTGAGAAAAAAAAGTCTTCCATCTCCAGAACAGTGAGGAAAGCAATTACTTTGCAAAATAATGTTAATTTCCCTGGACTTCAATAAACTGTCATTGCCTTTAGTTTTCTAATTAAACCTCACACCTTTTTGCATAAAAGCATTTGGTTCCTCTCCAGCTCTTTTCTGTTTGCTGTATCTACGCCACTGTTTACATTCACACATTAACATCTTATTTATGTTCCTCCTGCTTATTCCCAGCATCTCCTCCTCTTTCAGTCCTGCATCTGTGGTTGTGCAACTGGGAAGTCATTATGTGACAACATGTTTGGGGTTGTGTGTGTGTGTGTGTGAGTGAGTGTGTGTGTTTCTTGGAAGACAGTGGTCAGAAAACAGTCTAACTGACTTTGTTCATCTGCAGTTACCTCACTGGTTCTAATTTTACAAATAGATCTCCAACTTAGAGGAAAATATCTTTGTCATGAAAAACCTTAGTGTTTGTATTAATTTAGTTTAAAATAATATGATACAATGTTCACAAAGTCATTAAGAGTAAAACCAAAGCGATGGGAAGTTAGCTTGCAAGCAGTGGGAAACACTCGGTGCTTGTGGAGGGACAGTATTTGGTTCCTGGAACCCACATGTCAGTTTACAACCATCTGTAACTCCAGTTCCAGGGGATCCAACACCTTCAGACCTCTGTGGATACCGGACATGCACAAGGTACATATACTAAAATGTGGGCAAACATTCTTACACATAAAATAAACCTTAAAGAAATACAATCCACCAGGTGGTGGTGGCGCACAATTTTAATCCCAGCACTGGGAAGGAAGAAGCAAGCAGGTGGGTCTTGTGAGTTTGAGGCCAGTCTGGTCTACAGAGCGAGCTCTAGGACAGCCCTAGAAACCCTGTTTTAAAAAAGCCAAGGGGGGAGGGGAGATAAAATCCAATCAGGATAATATGGCCCCTTTGTATGCACTCTAATGTGTGATGCGCTGATCTTACACAGAGATCTTATGTGAATAGTAATGATGATCATCTCCACTAAAAACATCAGACAAAGGTCTCCAGCTAATCCTAATGCTCTCAGAAAGAAGTGCACAGCTTCCCAACAACAGAAAATAACTCTAATGGGTATGTGACTCAAGTCTACTGAGGCCCAGTCTTCTCATGAGAATTAGACAGCATCTATCTAATTGCTGAGACATAATAAACATTATTGTGATTGACCTACAATTATACTGTCAACCCATTTTTTTTGTAAGAAGTACAAGACCTTTAAAGCCAAAATCCCTCATTGCAACATACCTACAAATGGCCCCATGTCCAGGCATAATGTCACACTTTCCATCGTTCAGGCAGAAGTCAGGCTGTAGATCACAGAGACTTTGACAAGGCCGTTCATCCACACTCAGGTACCCAGGGAAGCATTTGCACTTTGCCTCTCCACTCCATGGATTTACCAAACACTCAGAAAACTGATTACAGGCCTGAAACTTGCAAGGGTTGGCATCATCACCTAGAGTATCAAACAAGCCAGAGAATGATTCAAGGAAAGTCAAAAAACAGAAACTGAGATATGCAAAGAGAGCGCCTTTCTCAAAGCATCATGGGAAAAATCCCGGTCCTGAATCATGAAAATACACCAACAGCTGACTCTTCACAGATTAGTCTGTTTGTGTTAGATTTCTCTGAAATTCGAAAATCTGAAATTATAAAAGCCTATAGCCTGAGTAAGCCTCTACATGTAGAAGCTTAAAATTATTACCAGGTAACTACAGTCCTAGGCCAAACAATATTTTCACAAGTTTCTCATCTCTACCAACCCAGCCAGCTAGAGGCCACCTCCGCTCTACACATGCCGTTGTGTGTCTGCCTCATGCTGATAAAATGGGATAAGAAGAGAACCTATAAAAAAAATGGTGAGGTCCTCATGGGTGAAGACATCCTAGAGTACCCTTGAGAAGATATAGATTTGCAGAAACTACTAAAGAAAAGAAAATCATCCCTGTGTCTCCTCAGGCCTTTCTGGACAATATTTTGTCTTCAGTAGCTTACTGTTTCACTGGCAGGGTAGGAGAAAAACACAAATAATAATAATTAGGATAATAAACAGTCAAAAGTGATGTAAGACATTTAGAGAAAAAAAATTGTAAAGACTGTGCCCTTGGAGGTCAGAGGACTCTTACCCCTGTCAGCCCTATGTGGGAATGAGAGGACATATCAGGTTAAATGGTGTCTCCTAAATATCTCTACTCTGAGCCTCATGATGTGACCTTTCATGGAAACAAAGACTTTACAGGTGTGCTCAGGTTAAAAGGAGGTCATACTAGATAGAGCTGGGCCATTGACTGCTTCCTTCCAAGAGGAGGAAGATTTTTAACTCAGAGGCACAAACAGAGAAGACGCCCACATACACTCAAAGGTAAATACTAGACTAGCAAGCCAAGGAATGTCAGAGACTTTTAGCAAATGCCAAAAATAGGAAAATGTAAGAAAGCATCTTTTCGGGAGCTCTCGGAGGAAGCATGTCCCCACAGTGCCTTGTCTGTGACCCTCTAGCCTTAAGAACATTGAAAGGACAACCTTCTGTTGTTGTGAGCTAGTCTGTGGTGCCCTGCTAAATCAGACTTAGAGAGCCAACATAGAGGAAGAACGGCAAGGTGCTTACACAACAAACAACACAAACCAACATGCTGACACACAGGCAGTTTCTATAAGGGTCCCACTGTGCACTGCCTAAGTCTCTGCCTCATGTCCTAGTAATTACTTTGCAACTCTATAATCATAAAATAATCTAATGTTAAGCATAAGTGCATACAGAATGGGTACTGCATAGATTCCCTTTATTAATGAAAGCAAAATATTTGGAGACAATGCATGCGAAAAAAAGTTATGTAAAATAAAAGTGATGCTCAATAGCCAATGCTGACATAAATTAATAATAATTTAAAATATACATGTAGTAGAGAAATTCTATCTGAAAATTTTTAAACTTTGTAGCTACTCCATGGGAGTGCGGGGAAGAAGATAATAGAATGTCTTTTCTATAGAGTAGACACTATGAGACAAATGTACTTATATATTCTATTTCTTTTTTTTTAAGTTGACTAGGAGCTAAATAGCTAAATAGCAGCTGAGCATCGGCCTAATGTGCTTGAGGTCCTGGGTTTGAGCCCCAGAACTTTGAAAGTAGAAGGGGAGCACCAAGACAGTAACAACAATGAACCCAAACTGCTCACATTTGTAGGCCCTAGTCAAACACTTCTGCATATTTATTTAGTCCCAAGACATTGTTAAATATATAGGCCAGAGAAAAGAAGGCCCATATGATAGATGGGCGACTTAGAAATCAGATGGCTTGCTTTCTAAGGTCATGCAAATGATAAATGATAGAGTGAAGGCAAAACTTCTTGGCTTCCAAATTACAATTGCGTCTTCAACACACCACATGGCAAAGGATGTGCAAGCAGCCTCAGAGAGCTCACGTGACAGGAGATCTGGATATTGGGAGATTAGCTAAATCCTTTTCCTCACTTGTAACGAATAACGGTCCTTCAAGAATTTCAAAGGAAAGAATGTTTTCTCTTTTTCCCCAGCTTAAAAAATAGTTTTCAGTTTCAAACCACTTTAAGAATAAAAAGTCTAAAGAAATATGACCATAGACATCCATTTCACCTGAGGCCTACTCAAAACCACCATACCCTGGAATGTGGAATGAAAAAAATAAAATAACATTTCAGGTTCCAGTAGTATTCTCTGCATCAAGTTCTTCAAAATAATAATAATAATAATAAAATAAATTAAAAAACATCAGGAGCAACAACAAAACCAGTGGTTCCTTTTGTGCATGCAAATTCCTTCTCAATCCTTGCGAATTCTGTCTAAGCACTTACTACAACAGATAGACTCTTGGTCCTTATGGAAAGTTCAACCAAGAAATGGTTATTGAGCACAGCTCACACAAGTTAATACTATTAAAGGTGCTAAACTCTACAAAGGAAGTGAATGTAATGTTATAAGAAAGACCAACACACCAGGACAGGTCCAGGGTAGAGTATGGAGATTGCCAGAAGTAACATCTGAACCAAAATCTAAACTGAACGGTAAAGGAAAGATTTGGGCAAACAGAATAAGAGATGTGCAAAGCCTTTAAAAAGGATTGGGGTGTCTGAGGAACTAAAAGACAAAATTTGACTTGAATATGGCGAGCCAGACAGTTAGCAAAGAAGTTGGGGTTCAGGCCTTGTGGTTATGGAACCAGGCAGCCATTGACATACATAAAGCAGCCAAATAAAATCATTTAAAACCTAAATTACAAAGAGTGTTAGGGCTGCTGTGTGGAGAACAGACAAGAGGAGGAGCCAGAGAAACAGTAGAAGCAATCCATATGAGACATGGTATTCATTTGGATCCATGGCAATAGAGATAAGAGCCTAGAATTGGAATATTTTAGAATTCAGTATTAATATAAATTTGGTGAATTTTTTGTAAGTTAGGGTGACAGAATCTATCTGTAGAACTAACAGTGACTCTGCAGACTTCTCTAGGTTTCCGGCTTAAGCAGCTGAAAAGATAAACATTCCATTGGTTGAGATGGAGAAGAACAAATTAAATGGAGAGTGGGAAGATTCACAAAATAAGAGTTCATTCTTAAATACTTCCAACTTAGTACACATAGAAATGTCAAACACACTCAACCAAGGATCGTCAAGCAATTAAGTAACACATACGGAGCTTAGAAGAGAAGCTTCATCAGCACAAAGAAACATGGAGAGTGAGGCAAGGCCTGGTAGTATGACGCTCAGGTCTGTAACCCCAGCTACCTGAAAGGATAAGACAGGATTGCAACTTTAAGACCTGTCTGTACTGCAGTGAGAGTTCAGAGACAGCCTGGACAACTTCAGTGAGTCCATCTCAAACATAAAACAGGTGGCTGAGGCTCAGCGGTGGTTTGTCTACATGTGGGAGGCCCCAAGTTCAAGAACCAGTACCATTCACAAAAATGCCGAGTGATATTTGCATAAAACTTAAAGGGAATCAATACAAAAGTTTAAGGTGTGTGTGTGATGTATTGGAAGAAGAAAGGACACATTCAGGATCATGGCAACATAAAAACAAAGCAAAAGCAGGTCCGGTGAATAAGTGAAAGAGAGGTGGAAAGAATGTAAGATAGGGACTGGAAGGTAAACCACAGAGGTACCGCTGTCTACTCAGCATGTCGAGATTCCCTGCAAATGTTTATTTTGCTAATTTTCAAGATATGGGGCTGTGTCTGACACAGTAGTTTTTCTTCATACAAGTATCAGATTGACTTTGACTCATTGAAAAAGAGAATAGTAACTAGATTCTTCTCAATGATAGGCACTATTGTTACCTGATTCCACATCCAGGGAGTACTTATCAATATCCAAGTTCATGGTTTGGTAGGCGGTAGTGCAGAAGTCTTCCAGAATCATGTACAGGGCATTGTTGACGTCAGGAGGGACAGACTCGGTAAACCTCACTCGGCTGTTCACCACAATGCTGCCATTTCTGAAGTTCAGGATCTCTAAGTTCTGGAACCCTGACAGATTTGACTGGAGATAGGGAACCAGCTGCAAATGACAAAACAGTCAAGTTTACCACCACGGCTTAACCTGTTGTTGAACATACCAGAAAAACAATAAAACATACAAAAGCAAACAAAAAGGATGTCCATGTGAGTTTGTTTTTTTAGTATGTATTCAACAAAATGCAAAACCTTCTATCCCTGCAGGACAACAGTAGAAAATATCAGGGTGAAAAAATAAAGTATCCAAGTTTTCTTCATAGGCATAACTAGATTTAACAGTACACAGGTATTATACATATGCACATATCATACATGACCCTTCCCCATGATACATGCATAGACAAATAAGACATAAAATCAGAAGTGGCCTGTATGGGAAGATGAAATGGACTAATGGGAAGATGATGAAGGACAGGGCCATGTAATGCAGAGCTGACTGTGGGCAAAGCACAATGATATGTGTGTATTAAATGCCATAATGAAAACCTTTATCTTATAAACCAATTAAAAATAAAAAATTAGGAATGGTTTGATTGCACAAATTAAGACTATCATGAGATTTTCATAGTGGTTTTTATAAACTTTATGGTATTTATAAACCTTATGCACCATTTTAGATGCCTAGATTTTATCTACTCTGTTTCACTGAAGGGCTCCCACAGTGAAGATATGAACACCCACAAAAGGTGGGTCTCACAATGAGTTTGAGATTTCCTTTCCTGTTTTATTTCTAGACCCAGAACTCTTGGTTGGCATATAGTCTTCAGCACCTAACTTGTCACATCACCCTGATGCCATGTGTTTGTTTCCAATTCTTGAATTCACCTATTCTACCCTTCTCCAATCATCCCAAAGCAATGATTCTACCTGCCTATGACAGAAAATCAAAATACCCATGGAACACCACCTCTCTGGGCTCAGACTTGGCATGCTGAGGGGAGGGGAGGGCGTCACATCGTATCCAGCAACGTTCACGTTTTACATTCTGTGCTTACCAATTCTAAGAATCTCTGTTCCAGGGCTTTATATTCCAAAGAGTTTTTATTAAACAGGTCTTCTGAAAACAACATGTTTGTCACCCGGAGGCTGAAGAAAACCACCAGTGCTCCTGCGGTCTGGGTGTGACTCACGTCACCTCCTTTTGTGGGCTGAGCCACAATAGGCATCTCTGTGTAGTGGACATTTGTAGACATTTCCACATAGCTACCAACCTTACCATTTTGTTCTTGGGTTAGCTCAGGCTGATAGTAATCTGTGCCCACCCGATCTAGTTCTAATGAAATATCCTGTACGCCCATTATTACTTCATCCTCTAGCTGGGTGGAGCTGGTGGTTGGAGGCAATTCAGTAGACTGTGTCATGGAAGCTTTCAACCAGAGCCTGTCAGGGCTCTCTGGCGTACTTGCCAATGTGTCTCTGGACAATTTCCCTAAGGAAGAAGTTTGTGCCCAAACTATATCTGATTCTGGCAATATGGTCCACACAGGCTGAATATCTGGCTTTGCCACTGAAATCTCACTGTCAAGTCCTTCATGACTGGGTGACTCTGTCTGCACCATATCTTCCTTGAGGAGGGTATTCACTTCATCTGTTTTCTTAGCAGACATGGAGGTTGATATAGTTGCCAGTAAGAAGGGAGCTTTGGTAACTGAGTAAGAATCAATGTCTGGTAGGTCTGATGTGTGCTTAGAAAAAATTAGAGATGGAGATTGAGTTGCAGATTCTACAAAGATGGGTAGAGTAGATCCAACAAGGGATTCTTCCTCTGTAAAATGTATGGACCTATCATCGTATCTATGTTCTGAAGATTCAACAATTTGTTCCACTCTGCCCTCTACATGTAACTTTTCTTCACCCTTGGTGAAGAGCGCATCATCCTCAGGCCATGACTTTGACAGTGCTTCAGTGGTCTTCTCTAATGAAGTCTCACTCCACGGCCAAGTAATCAGATCCGCATTTTTCCCAGAACCAGAACCCAAGCCACTTTCAAAAACGAACTCTTTTTCCATAGAAGTGTCTGGAAACCATGGGCTCACTTCCAAATGGTCTGTGACTTTGGAAGCCAAGGAGTCCAAGCCAGAAGGTGCTTTTATGTCTTTAGCAAGGTCTTCTGTAACAGAAGAGGTCGGATGTGGTGCGGATGTCAAGAGAGTCATGCCAGAATCCTCCATGGGTGGTACTGTTTCTTTTGGCACAGGCTGAATTAATGAGCTTGAAGGCACTATATCAATAGAAGCACCTTCTGATTCTTCAGGAATGGTTAGTCCTAAAAGACAGAGTTTTCTATTAGTTAGTCTACAAAATGAAACCCCAGTTCTCTAATAAAGCTAGCTAGCTATCTTCTCCAGATACCAGAGACAAGGGCTGACATTAATATACACACTACAGCAAGATATGATCATAAATTCACAGTGTAGGGCAGGCATTCATGAGGTGAAAACTTGACTATTGAAATAATCTTAAAGCATTTGATTTTTTTCCCAATGAAAATAAAGGATTAACCATATTGAAAGGCACAGATTGAATCCGCTGGAAATTTAGGGAGATTTTTTTTTCTGAAATTGTGTTTCTCTTTTTCTTCTATGTTTATTGTCCATCATCCTTCAGATTTCCCCTATGTTCAAAATACTAGACCCATTATTTCTTTCTTCATCTTCTCTTTCACACATACAGTCCATGCCAAATCATCTACAGAAATAGTTCTCAACCTTCCTTATGCTGCAGCCCTTTAATACAGTTCCTCATGTTGTGGTAACCCCCAACCACAAAATTATTTTTGTTGCTACTTCAACTGTACCTTTACTATTGTTATGATTTATAATGTAAATATCTGTGTTTCCTGGTGGACTCAGGCAACCCCTTTGAATGGTTATTCGACCCCCAGAGGGGATTGAGAACCACTGATCTAGAGGATCAATTATTTTCTTTCCATCTTTCTGTGACTTTCTTAGTTCATATTCTCCTCTTCTCAATATTACCGTAACCTAATTTATTAGAATTTCCCTCATAGTCAATATTATTAACATTTATTGAAACAATCTTTTTTGGTACTAGTCACTACATTCAAGCAGGTCGAGTTTTTGTTAGTAATGGACATAGTAATTTAATTATATATCTTTCAATATGACCTTCAAAATATCTTTTAATTAATCTCCAACCCACTTCCTCAAGTCCATTTCTTAACATACAATGATTTTTACTTTCCAGTCTGGCTAATTAAATCTGATTTTTTTTTTTTACCTTCTCTCACAGACTCCCCAAGACATTTTCTCCCTAATGAATGCTACAATGTTTTCCTCTTCACTGTAAAATCTCCAAAGCCTTTGCCCTCTGGTTTAGTAAAGAATTATGAAAAGTGATTAAAGTTTCCTACCGTCTTCTAATATGAAAGATCCAGAAGTCCCTCCCTCAGAAGCCACAGGCAAGCCAGTCTGAAGCACTGCTGGGGTAACAGAAGGAAGAGTCAAGCTGCTGCCTCCTGAAACCTCTGGGGAAGAACTGAGGACCACCTCCAGGGGAAAGGCTAACTTAGGTGTAGATGCTAAGTCACCCAAAGCACCTTCTGCCCGGAGATCCCTGCCAGAGCTGAAATCGAGTGGTGAAATGGTGGTGGTGGATTCATCTGCTGAGAGCCATTCAGCTTGGAGGGTATTGTCCTGGGGAGGGAGAAAAAGGCTAAATCATATCATGGAGAAAAGAAACACACAGAAATGTAATAGCAAATGGGAGAAACACAGGTGCTCTCAGAGCAAATATTCTGGAATAAAATCCTAGGTCAGCTAGGCACCAGTGTGAAAATTTACTGAAAACCTGTGTAGCCTCTCAAAATTCACCCGTAAAAGGGCTGGGTGAAATGCCGTATTGAGAAGACTCTAGACAAAGTGAATGTGTGAGAGAAAATGGTGTTTCTCTGGCTTTGGGTGTTTCCTTCTAACTTCTTGGGTTAAATGACTTTAAGTACATAGAAGTTAGCAATATATGTAACCTCTTGGCAAAGACCTAAGCATACTACCCACAACAGAAAGGAAAACTTAACAGTTTTATCCATCATTTCAAAAAGATGTTTAATGAGGGCTCTTTATTTTTATGAAAAATGTTATCATATCACAATGTGGTGTGATTGTCTCAACTAAGAAGTCACACCTATGAAATTGTTGCATGTCTCAACAACTCTTTCTCCCTACTCTGTGTTAATATAGTGATAATCTTACTTCAACATTTGGTTTCAGAAATAGAAAGTAGACAGAAACACAACCCTTAATATACTAGTTATTTAATCTTATAAAAACTATGATGGTATTACTAGGGCAAAGAGTCATGGTATTTTGAAGTTTGTGTATTTTAATCTATGCTGGACATTGGCCTGGTAAATAATATTCCTCTTTTTTAAGACTTCTTTATTTTTAGTTTTTGTGTATGAATGTTTTGTCTGCATATATGTAAGCATACTGCGTACATGTCTGGTGTTCACAGAGGCCAGAAGACGGCACTGGATCCCCAGGAACTAGAGTTAAGGATAGTTTTAAGCAGCCGTGTGGGTATTTAGAACTGAACTCAGGTTCCCTGCAAAAGTAGCAAGTGCTCTTAACTGCTAAACCATCCCCTCTCCCTCCCCTGGAGTCCAATATTCTAATAAGCTGACTTTGTTGGAGTAAAACGCCATGAGAGAAAATGCACGTTGTGAAGGAGAAAACTGAAGGCCATCCTCAAATGATGAGGTGCAACAGCAAAATGGGCTAGTGAGGAAGTGAAGGATTACAACATAAGAAAAAAATTTCCTTTTGGGGTATCCCCAGTCAGGTGTGAACCTGAAGAAAGCAAGACTTGGTTTGCGAGCCAGGCCAGTAAAGGGGATCTCATCAGGGAGACAACTTTCGGCATTCACACAGTCGTCCTTAGTATCGTGGAAACCTGGGACCACTGGTAGCACGTTTAAGCTTATAGAACTGGGCAGTGTAGGCAGCTTGCAATTGCTGATCTGTGCGCAGGGTGGCCTGCGTGACTTAGCACCACCTAGGTGCACAATGCACACAATGCTGCCTTGAATTCTGCTTCCAGGTCTATGTTATTCTGAATGGACCTGGTGAAGAGAGTAATAGTTAAATTAATCAACAAGACAGTAAATTGAAATTCTGTAGGTGGAAAAAAAGGAGATCAAGAAACAATACTAACAACTTGTTAAAGGCTCCACGACTTCACCAACCCATTCTTGTGGAATGGGAAGAGAGTGGAGAATAGATAACCATGTCTGTCAGGATAATAAAAGCATCCAATTTTAAACCTAGGCAGATTTTAGAGAAGCATGTCATCCAATAAAGAGAAAGTGTTCATAGGAGTGAAAAGGCCAAAACTGTCACACACACACACACACACACACACACACACACACACACACATACACGAGAAAGAAACATCAGAACATCAGTACTTAAAGCCATGGCTCTGAGATGGGTGATTTCCTTATTTTTGTCTGAGAAGATGTTTCTAGTAGCAAATTCAACTTATGAGTTCTTATTAGTTCAATGTTTAATGTTATATTGGCCAATTTCACTGGTGCTAATTTCCATGTGAAAAACTTTCTAGTAATAAAGAAAACATAATGAAAAAAAAAGTAATTTTTCACAACTGGGATGCCAGAAGATTCCAAATTCAACAGTCCCACCTGTAAAAGAAGTCTAAATGTTAAATTTTTGGCTAACAAATGTCACTTCTCTAAGTAAGATGTTGCAGATACAAAGGAAGGAAGCAAGCAAGAACATTTCAAAACAATCATTTTTATGCCTTATTGTCACTCATCAACATTCCAACATCTAAATATCTCATGCTCTCATAAACAATAGAAGCTAAAAGTCAACTGGATTTTATAGATGTGGTAAAAATAATAGTGGTACCAGAGGCTGGGAAAGGTAGGGGGAGCAATGATAAAAAGATAGAGGTTTGGAGTTGAAGCCATGGCTGAGCAGTTAAGAGCACTGGCTGCTCTTCCAGAGTTCCTTCGTTCAATTTCCAGCAACCACACAGTTCTTAACAACCATCTATAGTGGGATCTGGTGCCCTCTTCTGGCATGCAGGAGTACATGAAGATAAAGCACTCATTTTTTTTTAATTTTTTTTATTTTTAAATAATTTTATACATTCACACATTCACTTGTATCCCAACTGTAGCCATCTCCCTCTTTCACTCCCAATCCACCCCTTCCTCATTTCCTCCCTGCCCCCTTCCATGTTCACTAATAGGAGAGGTCTTCCTCTCCTTCCATCTGACCCTAGCTTATCAGGTATCTTCAGGACGGCTGCAATGTCCTTATCTGTGGCCTAGTAAGGCTGCTCCTCACTCAGGGGGAGGGGAAGCTCATATACAGTTAATAAATAAATCTTTTTTTAAAAAATAGAAATTTGTGGTATAAAATTACAGTTAGAATAAAAAGATCTAGTATTCTATATCAGAGCAGAGTGACTATCGTTAACGACCTGTGATCTACTTCAAAATAGCCAAGGTTGACCTTTATCAACCTATAAAATAATGATAAATACTTGCTCATAGATGACTAGTTACCCTTATTTGATCATGTTATGCTAGCATAAACTCACAGTATACTCAAGTATGTAATAATTTAAAAGTTTACATACTCCAGTCTCCTTAAATTGTTATCAATTTCCTGCAGTTGTCACTTCTCAGAAAGAGATTTTGCCGAAGGGACAATGGAGCTACTGCAATGTGACTGAGTAAGAAGCCCATTTAGTCAGTGTTTGCCATCCTTGAATGACAGCCATCAAATACTCTGGCTACTTCCTGGCAGAAGGAAATAGGAGCTTCATGGTATCAGATAGTCCCAATTCTCAAAAATCTGCATTTTTATGTAAAAAGATGCTAGATTTTTATTTTATTTTTTTTTTTAGTAGAGAAAAATTCCCTTCCATGAGGGTTTCTTTCTTTTTTTTTTAATTTTATTTTTCTTTTTAGTTACATTTTGTTAACTCTGTGTCCCAGCTGTATCCCGCTCCTTCATTCCCTCCCCAACCCCGCACTCCCTCCCTGGTCTCCTCCCTGCCCCTTTCCAAGTCTACTGATAGGGGAGGACCTCCTCCCCTTTCATTTGACCCTGTTTTATCAGGTACCTTCAGGGCTGGCTGCAAAGTCCTCCTCTGTAGCCTAACAGACTGCTCCTCCCGTGGGGGGGCGGGGGGGTCAAACAGCCTGCCCTTGAGATCCTGTTAGAAATGGTCCGTGTTCCCCTTACTTTGGAAAACTACTTGGTTACTGAGCTACCACGGGCCACATCCGAGCAGAAGTTCTAGGTTATATCCATAGATGGTCCTTGGTTGAGTGTCAGTCTCAGAAAAGACCCTGTGCCCGGATATATTTGGTCCTTGTAGAGCTCCTATCCTTTCCATATCATACTAACTTCCCTTCTTTCATATGATTCCCTGCACTCTGCCGAGGGTTTGGTTATATACTCGCTTATATAGACCTACAAGATATGATAAACATAATGAAATCTACACACCTAAAGAAGATTTTTAATTTTTTAAATTGGTTTCTAAATACATATCCCATTCTCCCTTTCTGAATC